ATCTAATTTACAAAATATTCGAAAATTTTCACGGTGTTTAACATTTGTCGGAAAATTTTATAATCATGACAACAAGCCACCTTATAATAATTTTATGGGTTATAATAATAATTATTATTATCACTGAATATCTTCTTTTAGGGTTAAATTATGGGGAAGAATAAAACGTTTTATACATTAGACGATGTGAAAGCTCTTTTAGGTGCTACGCCTCGACCATTCAAAAACACCTCACAGCTAAAAGTAAACTTTCTCATTTGGTAATGTTTTTTAAAATTATTCTTAGACTGTAAACTAATAATTTAGAAAATACCAAAGTAAAAAAAGCAACTCGTAAAAAAAAGAAAATGAGAATTTGTAAAGCGTAAAAATATATAGGAAGAGTTAAACGACATTCTAAAATATTTTTTTTTTGGTTTTAGACTGCAAACAAACAATTTAGATAGGTAATTCCCAAGTAAAAAAATTAACTTGGAAAATAACACCCTAGTGCATGATATGAGAGATAACACAGTAAAAAAATATTTGCTAATTTTAACCAAATATTAACCAGATTTTATTTTAATCCAGGTCCACATAACTTTATGTTAAGTTTACAACCAACTGTAATCTGTAAACTAATTGAAAAAGTAGTAGTAGGTAATTATAACAAACATTTGTAGATTTAATAACAATATCCTATAGTTGAATTATTGATATATATATATCAATAATTCAACTATAATTATTGTAATTTTCAAAAAGGACCTTATTTTTACAAACTTTTTTGTAACCTAGGAACAAAAGTATTTGTTGGAAATTGGGAAATTAAATGAAACAAATTTTAATAAGAAATTATGCTTTACTAATCAATTTTCTAAACAAAAAAATTAACACATACCTACATAAATGAAAAAAAACATTCACACAATTAAATACCACACCATTATGAAATCATCAAATTATAAAGAAATTTGGTACAATATAATTATCAGTACTACTACTTCACTGTATCCCCTAATTTCAGTTAAAAACCAGTGATGGCATCTTTTTTCGGGTACTTTGCACACTCGTTAAATAGGTATAAGGAATCCGATTAACAATATTAACAAATTTGTGGTAATATATTTTAAATACTCTGGACAGTTGTTACAAACACGTTATGAATTAGAATAAATTAAGCAGAAACATGAGTTGCAGACGCTGAAGTCAGTTGAACCCACAGTCTGTGGTTGAACCTGTTGATGCGTATTGTTGCGGGAAATATTTTGATTGGCTGCCTGAAATCACGTGTACTTTTTAATGAAATAATTTGTTAAACCTTGACAAAATATTTAGAAAATACCATATTAATTTTACAAAAATTTCTATAAAATATTTTTGTTTGTTAAAATACCTTGGTTTCATAGAAAAAATTATGTTAAAACTTTACAAAATAAAATTAATAAACTACAAACTTATGTTCAAAAATCTGATTTTTATAACAGTGAAAAATAAATAAATCCAATTTTTAAGATGGCGGATTGCCTATTTCTTAACAACCTGCTTGACATAGATCAGATGAAACGATGTGACGATGATAAGGTTTTAAAAATTATTGAAATTTACAATATTATTGAAATTGACAAAACTTGTGACGATGATAAGGTTATTGCGAGTTTTAAAAATTATTGAAATTTACAATATTATTGAAATTGACAAAACTTTGCAATACTTTTATAAAATTTCCAAATTTTTTAAAATTATCAAAATTAATGACTTTATGTTACACCCTAGGTTAAATCAAGTATTTGATATCTTTCTTTGGTCATTTTGTCGTTTTTCCTACTTATTAGTTAATCGACAGAAAATAACAACGCGCTTACATAAATAAGTACGCGCAACGATTTATTTTAAAGGAAATTTGCTAAAATTTTAATTAAATTACAAAATGCCAGCAATGTAATTTTATAGTAAAAGCAAATAAATTTTTATTTAAACTGAGTGTTACGGATAATATTTTATTACAATAAAACTAGCAAACAATTCTCTAGTTAAGTTAATTAAAGTTGCAGTAAAAATGACAGAATTTAAAACGTAGCGTTTGCTCAAAACAAATGAAAGGGCAGTAGTAGCAATAACTTACCTGCGCCGGGACAGGAAAAAGGGACGGATGCCCCAGGCCGGGCCAGATTGCATTCGCAAATTACAAAATAATCAAATTAACTTTTAGCGTAATTCACGGCCCGCGCTGCTCTTTGTAATTTTATTTATACTTAACGTGTGAACCCCGGGTGCAAATTGTGTATAATTTCCCTCAAGATCGCTTAACATAAAATTACACTTCCAACTACGCCGCTGCGATAAGGGATACCAACACTCCTCTTCTCTTATCCTAGCCACCCACGACTTCAAAGAGTATCCCTATAGAGGCCCTCGTTAAAAAATACTTTATCTCGATTATCTCGATTATCGCCTATTTACGTTTTAATCGACAGGATTACACTAATGTGCCGATAATTCGAAACTATTTTATTTAATTACTCATATTAATGTTTAAGGAGTTTACTTAAATTTTTATGCAGTACTTTTGTCACAAAAAAATGTATGAATATTTTTATTTGTTAAACTAAAATGAACCAATTAAAGTATGTATGAATATTTTTATTTGTTAAACTAAAATGAACCAATTAAAGTAAATAAAATAATCAGTTAGCCTTTAGTATGGAACGCCAAAGAGTTTTTTAATTATATATTATATCACGAGAACTATGAATTTAATCGGGTAAACTAGGCTCAGTAGTTTTTTGTTTAGTTTTTGTTGGAAAATGTTGAATGCAAAATAATTTAATGAAATCACGAGACCGCGTAGCGGTCGAGGGGTTTTATTTTTAATTATTTTGCATGAAACTATTTTTCAAAAAGAAAAATCAAATAAAAAACTTACTGAGCATAGTTTGACAGATTAAATTTATAGGTTGAGTGATATACGTCTAGATTATTTCTCGAATTAAAAGAAACTATTTGACCATTCATAAAATCTGACGTATATGTCAAAGTTTATAAATATTTTTTTAAAGAAAATTCCATTAATTTAAGGTATGTAATAAGTAATAATTGATATTTCGTAAACTAGATAACTTATTTTTTATTGTTTTTTTAAAAAATGTTTGTTAAAACTTGTAAATAACACCATAAAATCGTAAACAAAAATTTAATATGGAGGCTAAAATTAAATCGCTGTTAAAAAGGTCTAGTGATTTAATCGCTTATTTAAACGAAATTTATTCGAAAATTCAAGTCTTTTGATTGGTTCATATTATATTGAGGGAAATAATCGTCAATTAAAAATATCGCATTTGAATTTCCGATATCACAAATTCAATTTCTGATAAAACAAATTCAATTTCTGATATCAAAAATTAATTTTCGATATCGAAAATAATAATATCCCAAATTAATTTTTGATATCGAAAGTTTCTAAAAAAAATTAACAACTTATTAAATAAAAATATATTTTTTCTAATCCATATTATTTGTATTTCCAACAATTAAGAAATAACATTAAAATTTTAAGTTTATTTAAATTATTTATCCGGGTATATAATAAAATTGTAAACATATTTCAGTTGATAATTTATCTGAATTCTTAAGTAATCATAATATTTTTAATTCTGAATAAAAAGTTTCGTGACAATTTTGTAATACCATACACAAATAACATGTTTTTAATTGAATATTTTTTTTAATTCGCCAATAAATCGATATTTTTAAAGTGATATTTTTAATTCGAATGATTTGGACAGCCCTACTTGGAAGGTTGCCTACATAGGTGTTATTTTCACATGATGTTTCATTTGTTTTGTTTTTATTCGAAGGATAAAAGGATACACATTATTTTTATTTAATTATGGTATGTAAGTCTTAAAACAAAAAACCTGACAAAAAATCGATGTAATTTTTCGTAAAACGATGTAAAACACTTCAAACAAAGCTCTACTTCACTACTGCATATTGTAATTAATCGCTTTGATTTTCTATTGCAAGAGAATTGCTCTAATTGCAAGGTGACATTGATGGTCGCTCTCATATTTTCTATTTATAATTTTTATAATTTTTGTTATCACTTAAATTTGATCGATTTTTTCACTGTTTTAAAGCCTAAGAGTTATTTGAGGTATATTTATATCCAGTCAAAAAGGTAATTTGGGTTTATATCTTATAATTATTTATATTACTTTTTATTTTCTTACTGCAGGCCATAGTAATTTTATAAACTAGATTACTATACACATCTTATTACACAAAGTAGATTAAAAATAAAATAATTACATTGACTGTGCAAACACTAATAATAATACAGGTAAGTATTTATTGTATTGTTCAAAAGCAAACTACAAAGGAAAACAATGTAAACAATAAATATAAATTTTTTCTCCTTTTTAGGATACTTATAGGAAATAAAATCTCAATTTAATCAACATTTTTTTATTTTTTAAGTACACCTATGCATTAAAACTTTTTACATTAATTGTCTACATACACAGTAAAAAATATTTGTTAATTTTAAGCAAATGTTTACGGTATTTTATGTTAATCCAGGTCCACATAACTTTATTTTAAGTTTACAACCAACTGTAATCTGTTAACTCAGTGTTTTTAAATCTGTGGGTCGCGACCCCTAGGGGGGTCGTGACGCCTTACTCGGGGGGTCGCCGGCTAAAAGAAAAAGTCGAGGTTCTTACACAATAAAAACGCAATTTTAGTGAGAAGGATGTGCTTGTTTATTTTTCATAAGTTTATCAAATTGTGGTGCTATTTTTGAAACGTTAATAATCAAATCATTTTCTAATTGCAGTCTATTTCTCTTTTTAGTTTTATTGTCTACCATTGAAGAAAATGTCAATTCACACAAGTATGAAGTGGCGAATGGCACTAATAATTTAAGAGCTTCTTTTGCCAGCTCTGGATATTCGTGTTTTCTTTTTATCCAAAATACGTCGACACTTTGCGAATTCTATTTTAAGCATGCCATCAGCAGCCTAATCTAGAAGACATTCTTTCATTTTTGTGGTGACATCAGCCAGATCTATTGATTTGTCCAAAAAAGGGTTTAAAATCCATCTACGCCCATTGACAGCTTCAGAGTGCAAGTCTGGAAAGTATGTTAAAAGTTTCTCTTGTAAATTATGCAAGCTCAGTACCATGCAAGAAATATGAGCCGATACTGCAAAACTTTGATCCGTTTCATTGTCTTTAATTATCTTCTGAACACATGGAAAAGACTCGAACATTTTGTTTTGCAGAGAGGTTGACCACAAACGAAGTTTTACGTGAAATGCTTTTACTTTATCTTTGGCTGTTAAAACATTTTCTTCTCTTCCTTGAAGGTTCTTGTTCAAATTGTTAAGGTGGCTAAAAAGATCTGCCAAAAATGCTAATTTCAAGAGCCAAATAGGGTCAGAAAAACGAGAAGCATATTCAGATTTTGCATCTTGTAAGAACATTAACAATTCAGCTCTCAGTTCCAGAATTCTTGTCAATACCTTTCCTTTGGATAGCCACCTGACCTCTGTGTGATAAAGGAGATTTTGATGAAGCGAGCCCATATCTTCACAAACGTTTCTGAATAGCCGGGTTTGCAAAGCTTTACCTTTGATAGAATTCACAATTTTTATGACCTCCGTGAGCACGTCATTTAAATCAGAAGATACTACCTTAGCAGCTAGAGCCTGTCGATGAAGAAAACAGTGTGTCCAGGATATGTTTGGCATTATAGCTTTTAATCTTGCAATGAGTTCGCTATTTTTGCCAGTCATAGCTTTAGCGCCATCGCTACAAATAGCGATACATTTTTTCCAATCAATATGGTAGTCGCAAGTAATTTCTAAAAACATATCGTACAAACACTGGCCAGTAGTGCTTTGCAAAATAAGATTTCTTCCATGATACTTCATCTGCTTCAAAGCGCACAAATACTACAAACTAACTGTGCACAGTCGGAAACATCTGTAGATTCGTCAAACTGCAAAGCAAGATGTTGGATGTTCTTTAATTTTTCGACTACTCGTTCTTGAATATCCTTGGCCATATCGTTTATTCTGCGTGAAATAGTATTGTCAGAAAGTGGTATGTTTTTTAATTTGTTAGCCTCCTGCTTACTGACCATAATTTCAACCATATCAAGTGCTGCTGGAAAAATAAGATTTTTGGCAATTGTATGTGGTTTCCCTGCTTTAGCAACTCGATATGCGACTTTGTAGCTAGCTAATAATGTTGACGACGCAGTTTGGCCCGCGTGAATTTAGGTAATGTTTTTCGTTAGGTCCTAACGTATGTAAAAACTGTACGTATTTTAAAATAATTAAATTTTTTCTTTGGCTTTCTACGTCACAAGGGGGTCGCCAGAATATTTCAACCTGTAAAGGGGTCGCGAAGTCAAAAAGATTGAAAAACACTGTGTTAACTAATTGAATAAGTAGTTTGTAATTATATAGCAAACATTTTGTAGATTTAATAACAAAATCCTACCTATGTCAATATTTTAACCATAATTCTTGTAATTTTGTATTTTTACAAACCTTTTTGTAGACCCAGTAACAAAAGTATTTTTTGGAACTTTCGAAAGTTAAATGAAAAGAATTGTTGCTTTTTTAATCAATTTCCTAAACAAAAAATATATACCTAAATAAATGAACACAAAAAACATACACAAAATTAATTAATACAATTCTAAAATCATCAAATTTAAAAAATGATGTAATTATTTCGTCTCCGCTTTTCTTTAATTTCTTTCGTCTTTCGCTTGATTGGAACTCATCAGTACCGAGTTGCTGTATGGTGCGGAACACAAACGAAATTATAATTCATCAATCATATATGATTTCTCGTCCATATATAGGTTTTGGAACCATTCACTGCGGTGAGGCCAAAGTAAGTGATGCCATCTAACATTTAAAAGAACATGTCAAAAGACGGTAGATGGCACCACTTACTTTCGTCTCACCGCAGTGAATGATTCCAAAACCTATATAAGGACGGGGAATCATAATTTCGTTTGTGTTCCGAACCATACAGTTAGTTAAACTTGTTAATGCTTATTCTTAATCTTTTTAACGAAATAATGTGTTAAGCATTAACAAAATATTCTGTAACCTTTAAAATTAACAAAATGCTTACAAAATGCATATTACCTTTACAAAACTTTCGGTAAAATGTTTTCCCTTGTTAAAATAATTACCATCCCTTGTTTTCTACAAAAAATTACCTTTATTAAAATTTTACAAAATAAAATTAACAAACTACAAATGTTAACAAATCTGATTATAATAACAGTGAATACATTGTTATAAAAATAAGATTTTTTACATGACTTTGTAGTTTGTTAATTTTATTTTGTACAATTTTAACATATTTTAACCAGGGTTTGTAATTGTTTTAACAAAGTACCGAAAGTTTTTTATAGTTAATATACAATTTTGCAAACATTTTGTTAATTTTAAAGATTACAGAATAATTTGTTTTTACAATAAAATGTTTAACGAATTATTTTGTTGAAAAAGTAAAGGTGATTTCAGTCAAATCAAAACATTTCCCACTGACAATTATTGTATTATACGCATCAACAAGTTCAACTGACTGCCAATAGCGTGGGGCCTAAAAAGGATCGAATAAAATGTTAAGATATAAAGTGGTCGTTTTATCTTAATTTAACATAATGCCACAAAAATTTTCAAACGGCACCAGGTCGCATATGATCCATTAATTTTATTAAATACTATCCTTGAAGAAACTGTCTTAGATTATTATTATTATTATTAACCCATGGGTTTACTAAATATTGGAATAAAGAACTATACTTATTTAAAATGTATCTAATTGTTGCGATTGGCACACAACTCACTAATTTGATGTCGAGTCTTTAATTTAAAAAGATTTAGATATTCCGATTGTTTTATTATTTCCCTCCTTCATAGTTTCGACCAATTACAAAAAGGGATTTAGCTTAAAAATGTTAAAAATGTACAGTTATGGTGGAATGTAAATTTGAATGTCGAATACTTGGGGTACGCTTGTATTCCAGGACTTATTTATAAATAGTCCTAGTTTAAGCATACTACGCAACAGTTCATGTATGGTTTTCATTGCAGACATTGTATTTTCATTTTAGAGATATTTGAACCTTAGGATGCAAGTGGACCCAGTAATTACTTGGTTTTACAGTATCGTGAAAACTGTAAATGCTGCCTTTTTAGATCAAACTGAAATTGCGTCTTAAAAAAATCTGAATATATAACTGATTTAGAACGCACGTCTACATTTCTGACTCAGAATTATCTGGTTTACCCCGATGAGGACCATTGTATCATATCTTTTGCATTAATTTTTTTTTAAACGAAAATAAGTAAATCATTTATTTATTGTTCTCTCTAATACAGCACCTTGACCATATTACGTTCACCTTATTAAAAAGAGTTTTAGAATGCTTATATATTTTTACTTATGTTTATTCAAGCGCTATATTTTTTTACTGAATAGACTTTTAGAGGGCCTACCTATTAGTACCTAAACAATATTGAAAATATAAAATCCCAGTAGTTAGTGAAGCTCTAAATTGGCTTAATAACGTTATGGTATGTAATTAAAGCTCTTTCTCTTGATGCGGACATTTCCATGTTAATTAAATTAATTGTAAACATGAAAAGCCATAACTTATGTTATATAGTAAAATAATAGATATTATACACGTGTAACCGGTACACCGCACATCAAACGTTCGTGAACGGGGTACAAACTTATTAGATAATATGTCTCTTAGTCGGTAATGTAGAACACGCAGTTATAGTTGGGTGTAATTTCAAAGTGCTGAACATGAAATGCATAAATCAGGCGACTTGCTGTTGTTAATTTGATGTCTCTTAAACATCTCGCAGATGTGAATGAGTTAAACCTTAAGTTTTGTTACATTGAGTTAACGCCATAAAGCGGTTACCTACATCCAATAAACCAGTTTATTAAAGTTATAAGTTTTATCCAAGACTATAGTTTTGTTCTTTAAGTTAAAATTTATAATAAAACCGGTTTTAAGACACAACCCTCAAATCATAGAACTGTTCCTCAGACTAGGTTTCAATCTTTAATTAATAGTGTTGGTTTAAAAATAACTTGGCCCAGAAACCACATAAGTTTTTAATCATTATGCGAAATCTGCGCCCAATATATAGTTCTAATAATACGATCGTATATAAAATACAAAAGTAATAAATCGCATTTTAAAGAAATGCATTATTTTAAAAGTTAAAACAAGACCTACCTAAGCCATTTAGTTATAGGGACTTTCAAAATTTTGATTTAGAAAGTTTTAATGAAGAATTAGAATTATTATCTTTTGAAAGAATTTATAATGTTGAAAATATAAATGATAAAGTAAATATATTAAATCAATTAATATTAGATATAATGAACAAGTATGCACCATTAAAGACAATAAAAATCACTAAAAAAGGCCCCATGGATCACAAATAATATACAAAATTTAATGAAAATGAGGGACAAAGCATTAACAAAGTTTAAAAGGACAAAACTTCAAAAAGATTGGGAATATTACAAAGAACTAAGAAACTTTACAAATAGAGCTGTTTCCAATGAAAAAAAGGCATATTTAAATAACAGATTTTCCAAAAATGATGCTAAAATAACTGGAGATTATTACAAAATTTGGGAGTAAATTCTAAAACAAAATTTAAAATACCAGATAACCTATCAGATCCAGAAAAAATAAATGAATATTATCTTAATATTATGCTCAGTAATCTTCAACCTGATGAGTTAATGATTAATAGTTTTTTACAAAATAAAAGAGATAATACGGGCAATTTCGGCTTTTCTTTAACCAATGAAACCGATGTAGCCAATACCACCATAACCATTAATATAAAATCAAAGGCTGTTTGTTTTGACAATATTAGTATAGATATGATAATATTCTGTTATCCTCGCATTCTCCCAATGATTACTCACATTTTAAAACATGCTTTAAATCAAATCAATCAATTTCCAGATACTTGGAATATCTGTTATAAAGCCATTGCCAAAAGTTAACGATCCTAAAGAACTAAAGGAATTGAGGCCAATTAGTATTTTACCCAGTTTTTCAAAATTAGCTGAAAAAATTACATATAAACAAATTTATCTAGATAGATATGCATTTGTTCCAAAATATCAATCTGGATTTACAGTTGTTCTAGAGCTCTGCTTAAGGTCATAGATGATATTATAAGCTTTATTATTGTCAACACTTACAATAGTATTCGATTATCGCCTAGGCTGTAAAAATAATTTAGACCAATCAGGTGAAGTTTTTAACATCCTAGTCTGTAGAAGACCGCTAGGACCAATCAAAGAATTCGATAACACCTCTGAAGCTATCCAACCTAACTTTATACTTTTAATATTTATTATAATAATTAATTATAATTGAAAGTACGGTTTAGGTATCGTTTAACAAATAAAACTGTACCGATAAAATTTTGCCGAAAGTTTAAAAATTATAATAATTAATTTTTCGGTTAATATTTAAAATTAAGATTTGCGGTTATCCTAGCCTATAAATTATCTACACATAATTTGAGAAAAATCTGAGTCGCTGTGGTAAACTGCACTGTTTGATCTGACGTGTAAGAATTTGTAAAATTAGATACCTAAAGCATAAATTACAATATTTATTTTTTGGCATTCTTTAACATAGACTAAGCTAGGTCGATCTAAGTGTAGATAAAGGTTGATTTCAGTCCACTTTCTGTTACTTATTTCAATGGCAATAAATAAGTAATGTAGAAATTATATCATAAACTAATTTGTTATATATTTTTATTAATTTATTTTATTGTTATATATTTATATTAATTTATTTATATTAATAATAAATATGAGAGTAAATTAAACTAAAAATAAAAAT